AGTTAGATAAAAGGATTAATTAGTGAAATAACATGTTTGGGCATATAAATTAATAAAATAATATGTATAGTTTAGAAATTTAGTAAGTAAAAAAGAGAAATAAAACTTGACCATTTTACCATTTTAATCAATTCAATTAAAGTTATCACTTTAAATACATATTTAATACAAATTGGTGTTTTTTTTAAAAGAGGTAATAATCTTTCCAAAAATAATCTTGAAATTGACATATATAATATACATGTATATATATATATATATATTTCGTTTTTTCTGCATTTTTTTATTTTTCTAGTAAATGATTATTTTTTAAAACTTTGAATATATAAATTATATAGTGAACTATATAAAAAATTAGATATTATTAACATAAATAGTGGACAATTTGTAAAATATAATAAGCATAATTGAATAGTAAACTATTTGTGAAGATAACAAATATAATTGTTTACTTATGAATAAAGTTAACTAATAGACAACTATATGCTAACTATACATGAATATGTAATTAACTATATTTAAATATAGTTATTTATATTTCTAAGTATATAGATAATAGTGAATTATTTGTGAATGTAACTAGTTAGTATAGTTAACTGTTTGTGAAAAAAGTTAAATATATAGATAACTACATGTGGGTATACAGTTGATTACACATATAAAAAATTTATAAGTAATTATATTTAAAATAGTTAATATATATCTAACTATATATTTAATTATATACAAAGAGAGTGAGTAGTTAAAGTAAACTATTCGATAAATATACAAGTATAGTTGACTGTTTGTGAATAAAATAAACTAGAAATATAAGTATATTTGGATACATAGTTAACTATAAAATTAATAGAAATTAAAAAAATTTGGTAAATATATTTGGATATATAGTTAACTACATGTATAAATATATAATTAATAGAAAAGAAAAGTCTAAACTTTTATGTTGTTAGTTATTTTTTCCTAATAATACAAAAAAATAAAAATATTATTTATCTTTAATTATTTGGAATTAAATAAAGAAATAATGAAAATGAGATATGAGATCAATTACAATAAATACATTAAGGCTAAAATTAGAATCTCCAATAATTAAAATATTAGTTACTAAATTTTATTTTGTGTTATGTTAGATAATTAAATATAGAGCTAATAACTAATATAGAGACTAATTTCTCTAGATTAAATCATTATAAATAATTAAATTAAAATGTGTAATTTACTAATGGTTGTATATATGTCTAAAAATAAAATTTATTATTAATATTAGGGGTGGTAGAATGGTAATAATATAAAGAGACGATCGTGAGTAGAGTAACAACAAAAGAACTGCTTCCTACTTATGTTCCAAGCTCTATGTGACACCCAACATGTACATTTCAAAATCCGCTCTAGCAAAAACCATTAACACATTCTGAGGTCCCTGGTCGACTCTTCTTTATCACCATTCTATCTTTTTGTTTATGTAAATGGCCTCTAATAAGACCACCACATTTGCTTTGATGGTTCACTCTGCAGATTCCGCAACAGACTTTCCTTTCGTATCTACAGTTGCCGGCTTCTCCAGAAGCCGAAGTTGGTTTTGTAACACCTACCCAGAAAACAATTTGACAGAAAGTCTTGAGCCTCCTCTTACGAGAAAGGTACATTTTGTACAAATTATATTAACGTACCTCGATTTGGGACTCAAGAAATCTCCTCTGAGCTTCTAGCTCTGTCTGAGGAAGCAATGAATAACCTTGTGACCTTCATATGTTACAGAAAGAAAGATTGTACAAGCTAAGTCCCTGTCTAACATGATATACTCAAGACATCATATGGAAATGAACAGGTGAAATAAAAGACGTGAGAGCGAAACTGGCCCCATAACAGCGGAAACTAGAAGACTCAAAAGATACTAAATTAAAATCGTGTCTGAATATTTTTGTAATGCATGCTATGTACTATTTGGTTTGGGTATAGCTTTCACACATACCATACTAGATTGTTTGCAGAAGATGGATAAACAACAGATCTCCCATATATGGAGGCTGCAGAAGCAGCAGCTTGAAACCTAGCCTCGTGCCTGCTCAAATTCTCACTAGCTGCAGCAACAACAGAAGAACTCTGGCCATCTGAACTTAAAGTACCCATTCCTGTTCAAAGCATAGACCATCTTTAGTCTCAATGTTTCCCAAAACTAAAAAGATTCACCTTCCGGACATGTTGAGCACATATGTCATTCTCCATACCAATAACCTCAAGACACAACTAAATTGGGAGCTCATAGTCCAAAATTACTAAAATTCATTATGATAATGTGTAAAAATAGCAAGACCGGTACCCTGCTGCAGTGATTCTTGGTGTGGTCCACGGTTTCCAGAAGCTGTTGATGTAGTATTCTCAGCTGGTACAACCAGCGCTCTGCAGGTCGGACATGTGTTCTGTCGTTCCAGCCATGACCGAAGACAATGCACATGAAAGAGATGGCCACATATTAATTTCTTTGCTGAGGTCATTTCTTCACGGCATATGATACAGGTAGCATCATTTCTGCAAACCCCACATATAAGAACTGTGATTAATATGGCTATATAACCATAATGAAGTTAAAGAATAACCATTGCAAAACGGATCGTAAGATATTTATAATATCTGGAAACATTAATCTTCTGGGAATATCTGGAACGTACGAACTAAGTTCTTCAGGAGTTGCATCAGGAAACCGATCATTCATATTGGATGTGATTTTACGATACCGGAGGTAATCAGTCACATGAATCTTGAAGTTTCTGAACGTTTCGTAGAGTTCCCGTATTAGATGCAAGGGAAGACCATAGTTCCTATGCAATAAAAAAAGTAATACTTGAATTAGAATATCATATCAAAAATGCTATCAAAGCTCGCAGTGCATTACAATGGCATGGTAAAGTACACAAAATAAATTGAATAAAGATGGACGCAAATGATCGGGTCTATGGATCGAGTATGAACTATTTTTTTGGCTGTTTGGGTGCTTGTTTTTTCTCGTCTACAAGTAAAGTACATGAAAGCACTACGGTAACCAAGAGAAGAAGACTTAGTGCGATAATGAGTTATTAAAATATACTAATTTCAGCATGTTAATTAGTCAGGATTCATTTGCCTTTTAGTGGTATAACATCTAAGATTGGAATAAGTGAAAAGTGATAATGGGATAAAAATAAAACTTACATGAATATCATAAGGAAGAAGCAAAGATACATGGACAAGTGAAGCAAGTCACGAACAAGCTCCAGATAGAAAGTACATACTGGTTTTCCTTCCCATTGACCTTCCATGAGCATATCAGTGACATAGAAGGCATACTTGACAATAATAGAAATGGTTGTTGTTGCCAGAATCATATACCTGCAACATAAAATTATCAACTATCTCTAAACAAATCTCCAACTCTATCCCGTCTTAGTAACATGAAAGGCAAGAAAAGTAGTTAATTCCATGAGAAAAAGGTAAGAAGGAAAAGAAACATACTCAAACGTGAAGAAGACTGACATGGAAGCCTTCCGGGACTGAATCAATTGCCTTATGGAAGTATACGTAAGGAGACCATCTACGAGGAGGAGGAAAACCATGAAAGAAACAATACGAACATGAGAGAGCAAAGTGACAGAAGGAGTGGTCTCAATATACTCCACTCTCTTCTGAGCCATCCAATGAAGACCCTTGATCAAGAGGAGAGTGACCACCAGAGAGATGAAGGAAACAGAGAAGTCCTGTCGGAAGATAGTGATGGCAAAGAGAATCTCCATGAGTTCTCTCCAGGCTTGCTCATTCAGACGCTCCACCTCGGCTTCCCTAAGGGAGCCCAGAAACACGAGTTTGACTAGATTCCACAAGCTGAACATGAGGACCAAACCCATGTTGAGAAGAAGCACCAAGCTGATCTTGGACGTCGAGAAATACACAGTCGCTGGGTAAAATTGACCACGGCTGCTAAAAGCATGATATATTACAGCCAACGCCGCGAGAGTACTAAGCCCCGCGTAAACCCTTAGCCGAATCATTGTTGTCTTCAAGCTGCTGAGGGAAACAAAGAATCCAGATTTCAATCCCACTGCGAATTTAAATCTCATCATATTGAAAATTGATCAAACGAAAAAACGTACAGGAAAGAAGAAATCACGAGCGAGCAGGAGTAGCTGATAATCAAAGTCGAGATAGTCAGTCAAGCCTTAAGCTCCCATTAAGAAAGGAGAAAGAAATCACGACCGAAGAAGATGCGATTGGTTTTGGGTACTTTGATTTTAACTCTCCCAGAAAAGAGAAAACTCGTCTGCGTAAGCATAACCAATGAAACTATGACACGTGTACAGGTCTTCTTTTCCTGTCTGTCTGATTCATATATCGACTATTTGACATATTATCCGGCCCAACTCGGTCTTCGACAAAATCTCTTCAAGATACTCACAACGACTTCTATGGTGATCGATCCAAACACATAATTGCCTTATTGCTTCTCTTTTCTCTTCACCAAGTCCCATCAAAGTCTCTTTCATCATCTCCTTCTCTTTTACATCTTCTCTTACTTTATCTCCAAGCTTCTTTATTTCTTCCTCTTTGCTCTGCATCTCTTTCTTCATCTTCTCTTTCTCGTGATTCCTCTCTATCACCCAATTCGTAGCTGTCCACAGTATCTTCGACGCCTCCATTACTGTTTTCTCGTACTTCCCTTGCTTCTCCGTTAGTATTTCCGACATGGATTGAAACCCATCTAGTAGGGCTCGGATGTTAAA